CCCCAGCTCCTCCCCAGCAGCACAGAACGTGGGAAGTGGAAGGAAAAGCCCCCCGATGGCCCCGCACCCTTGGCCTACGTAGCTCAGAAACAAGCTGCTTCTCTCCCTGCAAAGTCAGCCCTGCTGCTGGGACCCAAGCCTTGGGGACTCAGGGACTCAGGGCAGACGGGCTCAAAGCCCAGCCTCGTGGTGTGGGTGACCACCATGGCCCACGGCAAGCCCGCCCCCTCTCCCGGCCACCCCCCCCCATGTGGGCACAGGAAGGCAAACGGGATCAGGCAGGGCATGGAAATGGCCAGCAGGGCCCTGGGAAGCCTCAGGCCCGGATGAAATTCTAAGCCAAGTCCAGGAGGCAGGGGGGGAGCGGTGGCAGCGAGAACCAGCCTGGACCACCCGAGATGAGTCTGCTCGGAGTCGGCCGCAGGAGCACGGACTGATGTCGGGATGAGGCAGAGAGCCACGTCTCCACAGACAAGAGTGCACGAGGGCCACGGACCAACGGGGCTGCGGCTGGGACCCCAGCGGCTTCCGCTCGTTCAGGTGTTCTACAGGGCGGGGGGTCACAGGGAGCCCGGGGCACCCCTGGCAGGACAGCCCACGGGGCTGGATGGTTCCACCTGTGGGCTCGCATGATCCTGGCAGGGGATCGCCAGGGCCGGCCTGCAATGCTTAGGGGTCCACGCCCAGCCCCACCCCGTGCTCGGCCCCTCTCCTCGAAGACTCAGCAACCCGCCTTCCCTTGGCCTCCAGAAGTGCGTCCCAGACCCGCTTCCTACCCCAAACACACTCGTTCCCTCTATGCTGGCTGCCACGGCAGCGTGTTTGGGCGCGCTGGCCCCCAGGCACCACGTCCTGGCCAGGGTTGCCCCCACCCTGCCGCCCCTTCTCTGGAGGTGCCTCTGCTGGCAGGGTCTTGACTTTGCTGGCCGGAGGGGCGGAGGGGCAGGCCGGGCCTCCCAGGGCCTGGGCCTCAGCGATGCGCGGAGCACGCTTCCCGCCGTCCCAGATGCACCCGGCTTCCTAAGGGGACCTTGGGGCATCCCGCACCTCCTGGGAGGAGCCTCCGGCACTGCCCCTCTGGGGATGCTCGGACGCCACCCCCCGCCACCGCATCTTTCAGTGTCTTGGGGACTGCAGAACTGTGACCCGTGGATGTGGCCTGCGCCTCCCCGGCTCTAAGGCCCACAGAGAGATGCTTGCAGGCGAGTCAGAGTGACAGGCAGAACCGCTGCTGTGGGTGAGAACGGAGAAGGTCATGGAGCCCGAGAGCCCCCGTCAACCGAGACGCTGTCCCCACGGCCCCATGTCCACCTTGCCATGAGCAGACCTGCTGGATGTTGTTGAGTGGCCGCCAGGCCGTGCTGTGCCTGGCTCAGCCCCGCATTCCACGGAGAGTCACCATCAAAATGGTGTCAGGCTTATGGGGCCGGAGCAATAGCACAGCGGGCAGGGCGCTTGCCTTGCATGTGGCTGACCCGGGTTTGGCTCCCGGCATCCCATATGGTCCCCTGAGCACTGCCAGGAGTAACCCCTGAGCACTGCTGGGTGTGACCCAGAGAACAGAGTTCCAGGTTTCAGGTGAGAGTAGAAAGAGCTGGGGGCACCAGGGGTGTGCACTCGGGCCCCTGGGCAGGAAGGGAGGCGGGCGTCCCCCTGGGGAGCGGCTGTGCACAGGAATCGAGGCCTGCTGCGTGCGGCCCCCACGGCTCTCCTGGACACGCGTCCAGGCAGAGGCACCGTCAGCTTCGGGGGCTCTGATAGGGCTCCAGGCAATGACTCTCTCCCCTCCCGCCAATTGGGGACCCACCGCGGCCAGCGACCCACTGCCTCATCCTTCAGAAGGCATGTCCAAGTCAGAGCAGGAGGCCGAGGGCCCTGGTGGACAGCGTGCTCCCTGTGGGAGCCACGGGGGTCACTGTCCTCGTGATGCTCTTAAGGGAGGCAATCCTGCCTTCTAACCCTCGGCCCCGGAACACAAAGCCAAAGTCAGGCCGCGAAAGAACCAATCACCACAGTACCATCTCCTGAAAGCATGACTGCGGATGGAAGGAATTTTTCAGACTCGGGAAACGTGAGACATGAGAACTGACTTTAAAGGGTGTTCGGCACAGAGGGCAGCGGGATGGGGAGCCCATGGGTGCTCAGGAAAGCTGGGTGTTAAGATCGTTTTTGTAGTGACACGATTCAGTGTGAGTCTCAAGCCCAAGATGCACCACAAAATCCCAGAGTCGGGCCAGAGCAATAATACAGCAGGGAGGGCGCCCGCCTTGCACGTAGCTGACCCGGGTTCGATCCCCGGCATCCCATATGGTTCCCCAAGGTCCACCAGGAGTAATTCCTGAGCACAGAGCCTGGAGCACTAGTAGGAGTGATCCCTGGGTACAGAGTCAAGAGTAAGCCTGGCCCCCCAAAAATGAAAACAAAATCCAAGAGTCAGTTCCATCTAATAGTGAAAGATTCCCGCTCGACGGGAACTGAAGGGCCAGAGAGAGAGTATAGTGGGTAGAGCACTGATCCCCAGCACCACGTAGGGTCCCTGAGTAGCAACAGGAGTGAGCCCTGAGCACCGCTGGGTGTGACCCCAAAACATAAGGTACCAGAGTGTGGAGCAAATTCACTCCCTTTTATTTTACTGTAAAACAGGAACATTGATGAAAACCACCCAGTAACAAGGCCTTGGGGGACGACACACTTTGTATGAAAGGAATGTTTGCGAAACTACTGTATTAACCAGCTGATTCCTACAGCGAATGCTCTTCCTGGGGCGGGACATTTTGAGGAAGAGCCTCCTTGCCCAGCCCTGCCCAAGCGCCTGCCCCATCCGTCTCCACGGCCTGATTCTGAGTAACTGTGTGTGCCAACAATCCCTTAGCCAGTCTCTCAGCGCCGATCAGGGTGGGGGTCACTGGAGAAACATGCACTCGGGGGGAGAGAGAAATGGCACCGGTCACCTGAAAACCTGGTCACCGGCCCAGAGACTCCAGACTGCCACCTCGGGACACAGAAACCAACGTGCTGCGCTGGACTCGAGAGCCAGCGGGGCCCTGACCACAGGGGGGCTGGCCGGGGGGAGGGGCAGAGTGGACAAGCCCCAAGCACGGGAGCCGCCTGAGGACGCCCACTCTACTCACCTCCTCCCGGGAGGGGCCCGAGCCTCAGGCTGGGCACGGAAGGAGCACTTGGCGCAGAGAACACATACCTGAGGCCCGGGACTCCACTAAATCCCAGAGCTGAGACAAACAACCAGGTGAGGCTCACGAGGGAACACCGGAGGAGAGAACCCAGCCGAGGGGCAGGCACGCAGGGAGCCCGCGGGGGCCGAGCCCTGCTCAGGCCTCATGTGACCCCGTCACCTCACTCCAAGACCAGGCAGCGCGGGGAGGGGGGGCCGGCTGTGGCCTCCCTTTAACCCAGCCAGAAACTGAGCAACCCGCTGCAGGCAGGAGGGCAGGGCCAGGGCTAGGAGGCGGCAGTCACAGGTCTGCTGCAGAAGGGACACTGCAGGAGAAGCAGTCACTAGGTTCTGGAAGCTTCTTTCCAGGGACCGTGTGTGCACAAACACAAACACACACACATGCACACCACCAGCACCAGCAGGGTCAAGGGCAGGCACGGGGGAGTAACCGAACTAGTAACCAAACTAGTCTTCTAGCCAAAGAGTTCTAAAAGCTTTCAGAAATGCGGGGTGGGAGGGTGGGGGGGGGATAGCAGGGCTAGAGCCAGGGCGACAGAACGCTTGCAGTCAAAGTTAGTCATTGCAAGAACAACTTCACTGAAAAAAATTACATGAACGAGTGTCTCCGCTCCAGACTCCTGGAGAAGCAGAGATGCCTGACACGCTGTGGGCGAGGACTCAGCGCTGGGGCAGCCCCTGGGACGGGGCTAGAAATCCCAGGGACGGGCCATGCAGGGGCAGCAACGCTGCTTCTAAGCACCCATCAGCAGGAGCAGTGCGGCCACGGGAGGCGTGCATGGATGCGGCAGGAGCGTGGCACGTGCGCAGGACGGCGGCTATGCTCGGGCCTCCCACAAAGGCGCGTGCTTGTGGACCCGCCACCAGGAAAACAGCCCGGCGTCACGGCTTCACGACTAATTGCAGAGGAGAGGCGAGCCATGCCGATGAAACTCATGGGCACCCCAGTCTTCCAGCTGGAAACTCGGGGCACCCTCAGGCGGGGGGGGGGGCAGTCAGGTCCCCACCCCACTGAAGCCCCGCAGCCGCACCCAGGCCCCACAGCCGCTGCCAGACACACAGGCAGACTCCAGCGCTTTGCGACCGGGTCCGAAGAGACGCCAAATCAAAGAGACTCACAGTTACGCCGGTGCGCGGGCTGAGCACTCTGGGCCTTCTCACTGCCTCCAAATTCTACGATACTGACAGCCCGGTAGAAGTACAGCAAGTCAGAGGGGAAAGTCGAGTGGCAGTCCACCAAGGTTAGCAAGTGAAAACAAGACCCCAGAAGGCTCAACGAGCAGCAGACAGCTCGGGAAACCCTCAATGACTTTGATAACGCCACGGTGAGTGATAACAATTTTCACACATTTTCATTTACCAAACCTATTTTTGGACGATTTCACTTGCCAATTTTGTTGTAACAGGAAACAGAAAATAAACTATTTTGTGCCTGCCAAGGGGGCAGGCTTGGGGTGGGCGGGAAATGGGGGACAATGTGGCGCAGTTGGTGCTGAACACCGAACGTCTGAAACGCCCATGTCATGAACAACCTCGCTTAAGTCGAAAATGTGTGTTTTCAGAGTATGAATGTACTACAGGTGCCTTCAATTTTCCTTCTTGGAGCACCTGATAAATAGCAATCTTTTCTCTAGGTGGGAGGGAGGGGAAGGAGGAGAAAGGAATCACTTGCTTTCCATTTTATAGCCTCCGAGGGCCTCGAATGATCTTGGAAACTCTGCTAAAATGCCCAAGTACATCTTTGAAAACATCAGAAATTTGAATTTTTCAAAAATGCTCCAATTTTTCAATTTTTCCTTTGTTGTACCTTGTTTCCTTCGTACACCCATCCCAGACTCTTCACTCCAAAAGCCGCCTGCTTGGCCGAGACGTCAAGGCACGTGACGGGCTGGCCATAGACGTAATGCAGGGTTCTGGCTGAGTCGTCGGCCTTCAGCAGGTAGACCAGGTCTCCAGCCGTGGCCACGGCCACAGGGTACCGCCCGGTCCCCGGAACTATTTTCAGGTGGTCGACCTGTAAAGAGTCAAGAGTGGAGGTCCTTTAGTCCCTGGGACTCACCTAGGAATTGCCCCGGCTTGGACCGGCAGGAGAGACAGAAAAAGAAACGCGAGCAAGCAGACCTTACACAAATGAGAAGCGGCTCACCGTAGAAGAACGAGCCTTCGACAACCGAGGCACCACTGTCACCTGCCCAATCAATGAAGGTCAGTTACCTGGCTAAGATTCTGAGCTGGAGGTGGAGGGGGGACACCCGTATCTGGCTCCTGTGAACTCGGGGTCAGTGGGGAGTATTCTGGTCCAGTGACTATGGCGGGAACGCTGGCCACATTTCTCACACGCCAAAAGCACGTATGTGGGGGACATGACATCGAAAGTATGACAGCACAAGTGTCAGGATGGCGTGTCTGCTCTCTCTTCTTCTTTTTTTCTTTTTTTGGGGGTCACACCCAGAAATGCTCAGGGGTTAGGAATTCTGCACTCAGGAATTGCTCCTGGCAGTGCTGGGGAGACCATATGGGATGCTGGGAATCGAACCCGGGCCGACCATGTGCAAGGCAAACGCCCTCCCCACTGTGCTACCTATCACTCCAGCCCTGCTCCCTCTTCTTGTATTCTGAAAATCACATCTGATTTTATTGACATCTGCAATCTAGCCACTGAGCTCCGTTTTGGCCAAGAGTGTGTGAGCCATCTGCGTGCTTTGTCACTGGCATCAGTGAGCTTCCTGCCAAGGCAGAGGGACACTTCGGAGAGGGCCTCACATCCCTGGGAGCTGAGTTCCTTTACTGGTCCCCGTCAGCAGTGGCCTTCGGTGGAGACCAACCGACAGGCCATGGCAATTTCGAGAACAAACTGAAACACGGGGTCCCTTGGGGGAAACCCTTCCAGACTGTGCAGGCTGACGCCTGAGGGATACGAGGCTTGCGGAGGGGAGCAGGGACACCATGCATGGTTCTAGGGTTATCCAAGCCCAAGAAGATTGGACTGCCCCGGGGGAGGGAGAGGCAGAGGGTTTGTTCCGGGTCAGCTCACTCTTCAGTGCTGGCTTCCCGTTCACTCTCCAGATGCGAAGGCAAACTTGGCTAAGGAAACCAGTGCAGCCCAGATGGGACTGCACCCCTCTGTCCCCATCCCACCAGCTCCCACCACCTACAGTGGAACTCAGGAGTGAGCACTGCAGAGCGAGCCCTGGCGGCTGGTGCTATTTCCCACGCGGCATTCCAGGGGCAGCTGGTCACATCGCAGGGGCAAGTCTAGCTCCTCTTTCACGTCAGGGTAAAGGGGAAGGGGAGAAGAGAGACGAGAAGCAACGGGGACAGGGCGTCCAGGGGACCCGGGCACATCGGTGGCGTACAGGAATGACAAAGCTAAAGACCCAAACCCCAGGGTCTGGGGCCGGAGCGATAGGACAGCGGGGAGGGAGTTTGCCTTCCATGCGGCCGACCCGGGTTTGATCCCGGCATCCCATATGGTCTCCCCAGCACTGTCAGGAGTAATTCCTGAGTGCAGAGCCAGGAGCAACCTCTGAGCATCGCTGGGGCAAGTGTACCCAGACCAAAAAAAAAAAAAAAAAGCAAACCCCAGGGTCAAAACACTGAAGATGCGAGACCCCAACTTTAATAACCATATTTAGAAGGTGTCTGTCAAGAGGGCAGGCTGTGGTTGGGGGAGGGGATGGGTAGGAAAGGGAATTGATGGAGGAAAGTGGACACCGCTGGTGGGATTGCTGATGGAGCATTTATGTCCCAAACCAAATTAGGAATAGCTTTGTAATCCATGGTGCATCTTAAGAGAGAATTGGGGGTGGGGGTGGGAGGAAGTTACCCTCCATTGCAGTCAAGAAAAATTTTGAGATGCAGAAAGTCTAGGCTGGAAGCCTCCTTCTCACATGGAAATATACCACCAGCAGACTCGCGTCCTACTCCTGGGGCCAGGAAGGAGGCCGAGGACAGCGTGGGAAGGGTGAGCTTAGGTACCAGCCCCAAGGTCTGAATCCCAACCTCTCGGCTCAGAGTCTGGGCCCAGCCCAGCCCGCCTCTGAACTCTGCAGGATGGGGAACACGGCTGTTTCACGGCCACTGGGGAGCGCAGGATGTGCTGACCCCGGGCACTTGCGGGGGCCCCAGAGATGCTAACTGGGAAAAGCAAAGCAGCCCAAGGGCCCAAAACTCACCAGTTTCTGAACTTCAAACTCCGCGGCGATCTGCCAGTACCCCTGCTCATTGGGGCTCAGCATGGTGACATCAAAGGCGGACGCGGTGGCCACGGTGGTGTTGTCCGGGCTGAGGGCCAGCGCCTGGATCCTTGCATCGTGCTCAAAGCGGTGAACAGGGTACCGCCCAGCCATCAGGTCCCAGATATGGAGACAGCCTGGGGACAGAGGACAACACGGGTGACAACTGCCCTCCACTGCGACCCACAGTGCAGAAAGAACAATGACTCAATCCCTTCTGGAACATACAAAGGATTCAGAAAGAAAAAAAAATTAAAGAATATAACTGAAGAGGGGCTGAAGTGACAGTCCAGAGGGGAGGGCATCTGCCTTGTATGGGAGCCGACCGGATTCGATTCCTGGCACCCCATATGGTCCCCAGAGCACTGTCAAGAATGATTGCTGAATGCAAAGCAGAGGAAAGACCTGAGCACCACCAGAAGTGCCTCAACAAAACAAAACAAAAAAATACAAAGTGCCTCAAACCCAAAACAAGCAAGAGTATAATTCAAGAATGAGCAAAGGACATGAATGTGTTAGTCACAAAAAACAACACCAAGGGGCCGAAGCAACAGCACAGCGGGGAGGGCGTTTGCCTTCCATGCGGCCGACCCGGGTTCGATCCCCGGCATCCCATATAGTCCCCCAAGCACCGCCAGGAGTCATTCCCGAGTGCAGAGCCAGGAGTGACCCCTGAGCAGCGCTGGGTGTGACCCCCAAAAGGCAAAGAACAAAACAAAAAAACAAAACAACAAAACAGAATCAACATGTAAACTAAGGAGGTTAAAAAAAAAAAAGGTGAAGCACAACTAGAACAACAGAAATAAAGACTGAAATGTAATACCATTTTGCTATCCACTGATTTGATCAAGAGGCAACATGATTTCATAAAACCATTTCACTGTTGAACTTAAGGCTCCTTAAGTTGCTGGTGGCATGTAAACAAATTCACTGCTCTGGAGGCAGTGGTAACACGGAGCTGATTTCCATTACAAATGCCTGTAGAGTGTCACTGTCACCTGATCGACAGCAGACCCGGCTGGCAGAAAGCCCATCTAGGGGACCACTTAGCTGGTGGTATTTCCAAAGTTCTGAATTTAAATAAAATGAGCAGTGAAAGAGAGGGAGCCTTCCATGGAGCCTATGGGAAAAGACGGGCAAAATACATTGTTTGATGGGGGAAAAAACGAACAGAACAACAGCAGAGAGCTTCGGGGTGGATAGGGGTGCGGGGGGGACTCCCACTGGCAATTTTCAGTCACCCTAGCCTGCCTCTCAATGCAGGAGTCTGAGGATTACCCAGACACCCTCGGGCCAATGTTGCCGGGCCACATCACACTGGAGCTAGCAAGACATATGCACCCCAACTGCCGCACCATGTCCTGCCTCTCAAATCACTTTTTTTTTTCTTTTGGCTTCTCTGGGTCACACCCAGCGATGCTCAGGGGTTACTCTTGGCTCTACACTCAGGAATCACTTCTGGTGGTGCTTGGGGAACCCTAGGGGATGCCGGGGATTGAATCTGGGTCAGACACGTGCAAGGCAAACGCCCTCCCCGCTGTGCTATAGCTCCAGCCCCTCAAATTACTTCTGCGCTTTGAAAAACACACTAGCACAAAATCTATACGTGGAACATCCTGGCAGGATCCCCAAGAAAGAAGTCCTTGGCACTTGGCCGCTGGGGCTGCACGTGGCACGTGAGGAAGTTCGAGGGGCCAAACCCTCAGCCTCACACCCCGGAGGCTGCCCTCTGGCTTCTGGTGGGGAGGGGGAGGGCTGCCGAGGTGCTCCAGACCAGCCGTCTTCTCCACGATCTCTAGCCTGCCAGGTTAGCACCGCTAATCTCTTCCTCTCACTGATTTCTCTCTCTCTACTGCTCCTCTGTGGGTCCGGGTCCGATTCCGCAGCTTCCTATTACCTAAAGCAGATGTCGTTTCTTCCTCTTTGCTCTTGCCTTGCTGCTGTTAAGCAGTCGGTGCTCGGAACGCAAATCTTCCTCCAAGTATCATTCAGCAGCAGGCAGGCCTATGAGGGGTCCTGGGTTGGCAGCTCCGCGAGACTTTCAACCCACTGGCAGGCTCAGCAGGTGAATAGGAGTTACAGCAGACGACAAGCACCCGAGCTGAATGTGGCCCCTTATGCACACGCTGCAGCCTCTCTGGGGAGGAGCGTCTCTTGGGGTAGCCAGAGACGGCCAAAGGCCCTACCACACGTCCCTTTCCCCACCCCACCCCAGTGAGGGTTCTGGCAAATTCTTTCCATCTGACACAGGAGAAACGGAGAAAATGCAGAAGTTGGAGAGAGGCGCGGCCCTCACAGCCAACGGCAGAGAAACCCGAACTGGGGTGCTTGGTTTCTCCCATCTTCTCCTCCCTTGGAGCGCTTGAGAGTGCATTTTCAATCCGGGAAAGAACAGCATCATGCTGTGGGTCAAAGAAACAGAAGTCCCAGGGGCTGGAGCGATAGCACAGCAGGAAGGGCCTTATACGTGGCCGACCTGGGTTCAATCCCTGGCATCCTATATGGTCCCCTGAGCACCACCAGGAGTGAATGCTGAGTGCAGAGCCAGGAGTAAGTCCTGAGCATCAGCGGGTGTTACCACTCACTCCCACCTCTAAAAAAAAAAGAGAGAGAAAGAAACAGAAGCTCCAAAGGAGTCAACAATTTTTATTCAAAGCCACCAGGCATGCGATGATGCCTGGAATTTAGCTGAGATCCTCAGAACAGAAAACATGAGTAACCGACATGAAGCAAAGTCACCCAGCACAGTCCCCTCGAAGCGCACCTGGAATTTATCCAGAAGCGCCTTTCTCCTCGTTCACCAAGTCCTGGTGTCGCTGGATCCTGTCCCCGGCATGGCCACATGCAGTAGAAGCCCTGGGGCTGGGCGAGGAGTTCCCAGGGCTCCCACAGACGGAAAATGTTCCTGAGCGGGTCTCATCCTTTGCTCCCGAACGCCTCCCCCGTCAATGAGCCCTTCCTCGATGAGACGAGACACGCTGCCCTGAGGAGCTGAGTTCCTGCCTCTTCTCCTTACATGTGCCACGGGACCTGAAGTAGGTCACTGGGGCAGCAGAGCGAGCAGAGCCCTTCGCCCGGCCCAGGGACTCCTGACACAGGCAGTCATAACCGAGGACAGGTCTGAGCTGTCTGACCCACTCTTGGTGGGTGTGTGGGGTCACACTCAGTCATGCCCAGGACTTACTCCTGGCTCTGCACACAGGGATCACTCCTGGCGGGCTCGGGGAAGACCACCTGGGATGGCGGGCATTGAACCTGGGTCATCCGCATGCAAGACAAGTGCCCTCCCCGCTGTGCTATCTGGCCCCAGGAGCTACTGTCTTAGTTCTGTGTTTTCTACACCTCTGTTTGTCCTTTGTTTCTCTTCTTCCGACTTCTCTGCTTTCTCTTGGAGGATTTGCAATCACCTTACATGTTGATTCCCTTGACATTCTTTCGTGGGCTGACCAGCCAGCGTTCCTTCCTGAGTGGACAGCCATTGGCAGGGTCTACATCTGTCCTCATGCACTGCCAAAGGAAGCGATAATGGCTCCCCCCACTCCAACCACGCCTTTGCGCTACTGTTCCATACATATGTCAACATAAATTGCTTCTTTTTTTTTTTTTTTTGCATAACTACGCAATTATCTTTAAAAGAGACCCAAATAATAAGGGGCAAAGCCACGTGTGCTTGCTCGGGTAATTAACCCTCTCAGTGAGCGCACGTCCTGCATCACGGTGAACACTTTAGAATCCTGCAGCCTTCGCCAGACTTACGATTTCACTGAGTAACTGCACTGCTAGGCCGTGGACCCCCAGACACGGGCAAGGTGGGCGCCAACAGACACAGCTCCCAGGGAAGGACACGTGAGTGGAAGTTTCATTTCATCAATGGCCAATTTCTTATAGCGTGGTGACTTTTACAACCTGGGCATTGCTCGGCACAGGGGCAGTTCAGTTCAGTTTGAATGATAAATACTTGAATTCTAAGAAGTCCAAAATATTCTAGCTGATTAACATCCATGTTTAACGCTATTTAGCCAAAAAGATGGAGCTGGAGAGATAGTCCAGTGGGTAGCGCCATTGCCCTGTATGCCACCAACCAGGGTTCAATCCCCCGGCATCCCATAAGGTCCCAAGAGGCTGCCAGGAGTGATTCCTGAGTGCAGAGCAAGGAGGAGCCCCTGAGCATCACCGGGTGTGGCCCAGAACCACAGAGAATGAGCAGGATAAAACCTCCAGGCACTACTGATTGAGTGTCTATTTGGGGCCAGTGAACTCTCCCAACACTGGGGAAACTAGACGTGTGGAACAGCCCCTGACGGCAGATACCACCTCCCAGCGGCCCCTGCTGAGCCTTGCGTTTGGGGCAAACTGAAAGGATCCGGCTGCCTGTTCCGGGGAAGTCACAGGGCCAGGAACTGCTTTCTAAGCAGCAAGAGCGCAGCGCCGCAGAGAACCTTGCACCAGACAGCTTCATTCTTGGTCAGGCCATCCCCTGGACCACGAACCCGGCCCACAGCCACTGCCTGGCCTTAGGGAAGAGCAGAGTCACCCCAGCCGGAGCTAAAGGCGCTCACCCCTCCCGCGGGCCGGCCCCGTTCAAGGAGCCCGTTCCTTTAGGAGGCCGAGAGGGCAGGGGGGCCTTCTCCTGCCCAGGCTGCACGCCCTGGATGCCTGCTCGCCCCTGCCGCCTGCTGGGTGCCAGCCTGGGCTCAGCCAGGGCCCGTGGCCGGGGCGACAGACACCCTCGGCAGAAACAAAGGGGAGGCTGGCATGCAGCCCACACGCCCCCGCAGTGCCATCCTCTCTTGCCCGCCGCAAGCTGAGTCCTCAGCCCCACTCCAGGGTCTGCCCGCCACGCAACGGGTGCACACCGAGGTCCCAGCAGCTCACCCTGCCCCAAGTCTGCAGTGCCCGGCAGAGGCCCTGAGCTGACCCCCACCCCCATGGAAGACGCTACCGCCCTCAGCCTCCTAGCAAACAGGCTTCTGCCCGCTGTGCCTCCGAGCCAGCCGCGCCAGGCCTGGCCCGTGGAAGCCGGGGTCCCCAGCCCCCCACCCGCCCCAGCTCTAACTTCACCCTGGTGCGTTTCACTTTGCACCCGGCACTGAGAAGGCCACCCAGGGCCTCGTGCACAAGAAACCACGGAGAGAGG